CGTTGCACTTCGTTACGTTCAACTGTTTATAGATTACAGTAGGTTCATAGGTTACAGGTGTGTTGAACTCCACTTCGTTGCACTTCGTTACGTTCAACTGTTTATAGATTACAGTAGGTTCATAGGTTACAGGTGTGTTGAACTCCACTTCGTTTCACTTCGTTACGTTCAACTGTTTATAGATTACAGTAGGTTCATAGGTTACAGGTGTGTTGAACTCCACTTCGTTTCACTTCGTTACGTTCAACTGTTTATAGATTACAGTAGGTTTATAGGTTACAGGTGTGTTTAACTCCACTTCGTTGCACTTCGTTTCGTTCAACTGTTTATAGATTACAGTAGGTTTATAGGTTACAGGTGTGTTGAACTCCACTTCGTTGCACTTCGTTACGTTCAACTGTTTATAGATTACAGTAGGTTCATAAGTTACAGGTGTGTTGAACTCCACTTCGTTGCACTTCGTTACGTTCAACTGTTTATAGATTACAGTAGGTTCATAGGTTACAGGTGTGTTGAACTCCACTTCGTTGCACTTCGTTACGTTCAACTGTTTATAGATTACAGTAGGTTCATAGGTTACAGGTGTGTTGAACTCCACTTCGTTTCACTTCGTTACGTTCAACTGTTTATAGATTACAGTAGGTTCATAGGTTACAGGTGTGTTGAACTCCACTTCGTTTCACTTCGTTACGTTCAACTGTTTATAGATTACAGTAGGTTTATAGGTTACAGGTGTGTTGAACTCCACTTCGTTGCACTTCGTTACGTTCAACTGTTTATAAATTACCAGTTTTCAATGGGAAATTAGTAACGACTTTCAAAATTTTTCATTCATTTTATAAAATTTAATTTTTTTAAAGCATTCATCAGTAAAGTACATTAAAAATCACTCGTAAAGATTTTGTGTTTATCTGTACCATTTCTACTTCATAACGTGTGGATTCTTAACATAAAGATGCAAATCACATCTATATGTAACGTATTTATAACGGATTTTCAAATTTAAATTCAATGAATATCATTTATATGTTATGCAAAAATACGTCAAACCGTTAATAAAATGAAAAGTCAATTTAATTAAGTTGGTGAAGTGTTAAAAATAATGCAATACATTTAAAACAGCATAAATTTATGCTCAAACTTTGTGTGCTAAATGCACATCGCATATTAATAGTTATTTTGCATTAATTCGTAACGGACCTGTGCTTAACGGTTTTTTTGAAAATTCAAATATTCACTTACGAATATTCATGAAAAAATTACTTGTCAATTTTTTTGTCTTACCAGAATATCTTTAGCTGCTCAAATTTATGGTATAATTAATAATGAGTAATATTAATTAAACTATAATGAATCATATAAATGACTTTAGAGCATCAAAAGTATAATATTTAATACAAATCAAAATTTTATATCATTGACATTGGATTTTTTCCCATATAAAAAAGTTTTACATAAATTGTACTATAATTAAGCATTTTTGTGTTTCCAAAGTGTTAAAATATTGTATTGTCACCGGGAATACGTGTGCATTAAAAATTTAAGCTCGTTTGGAGCAGTAGAAGTGGTCGAAAAATCGATTACAAAAGTACGAAATTTTGCGGACAATCAATCAATCAAACAGATAAGAAAGCAAGTTAAGAAAAACGTAGTAAAAAGAACTGTGAATTGTCGTGGAAACAATGTGAGTAAGTTGAAATCAGAGTTGAGGAAGAAGAAGAATGTTTTTTAAAGAACCTGAAAATTCGTTTGGAATCGTCAAAGTTGATTTGTCAAAGTTCAGGAATTTAAGGCAAATTTTTATGTGAAATCTTCATCGTTAAACTCTTGCTGTCTTTTTGCTTTAAACAAACTATAATTTACTAAATCTTGTTGCATAACTTTTGAAAATTTTAATAAAAACTTTTTGAATTGAGAAAAAAATCTGCCATTTTGAATTTTTATCGTTATAAATTTTCAAAATGAATTACTCAATTGCGTCTAAAATCTAGTTTTGGATTTCTTTATACTTGCATTTGAGTTCAATTCACCTTTAAATTACCAACGATTTTTCCGTTAACTAGATCAACATCCAAACATTTTTGTTGACAACTGTTCAGTGAACCATAGACTGTGATGAAATATCGTTGACTTATATCTTAAATGTCTGCTTATGACAGCATGAAAACCACAACAACTTCTTTTTTGATGCCCTTTTCATGGAAGAAGACAAAAATGTTATAAATGAAACATTCAAGGATGTTCGTTAATGAAGAGCAAATGTTTGTGACATAAAAATTAATGAAACTTTTTGAAAATAATTGTGCAGAAATTCCCACAGAACAGCAATAGATAATAAATCGTCCACAACATTTCAAAAGATTTTCTAAAAATCATTCTCAATTTACAGCTATTGTCCATTGTCATGTGTCCACTCAAAGGACTCGTTTCTCGTTTTTGTGACTACACACAAAAACTATTTCGGTCATGTCTCAAAGGATATTCATAAAAAACCTCAAAACAATCATTAATAATCAACATGTCATATGGAAATGATCATGCATGATTTTTTAAGAAAGAATTTTCGTTAATTATTTCATCACAGCGACCGCAATCTGCTTTCAGTTAAATCTTTAATATTTTACGACCATTCGACAGTGTTATGTAAAACAAATACAAAGAGCGAAGATCTTGTTGATAGAATTAGACAATGCTACTGTATAAGAATGTACGAGAAACTGCCAACTGACCCCTATGTAAAAGCTATAAAAATTGTACATCTATTGTCCCATAAAAGAATTCTCATCATGGCACGTTAAAAATGTTACACGTGCAAAAGCTAAAGGTATGAGGCTCTGACAAGCAGAAAATGTATAATGAAGCATATGAGACAATTTTTGTGAAAGAGAAGGAGAAAAGATACACAAAAAACCGTTAGCAAACAATGGAAATAAAAGTTTATATGTAATCTTATGTAATGATGTGTGAGAGGAACGGAGGGAGAATGGGAGGTAGAGGAATGCGAGGGATGACGATCGGGTATGGGAGATGTTGAGTGTGAGATATGTAAATAGTAGTTTGCTGCTTGATTTGAAGTTGAAAATTAATAACGGAATGATTGAGGAAATGTAAATATTTGATTTGTCAGGAGCTGCTTTTCAGCTCAATTAAGCGACCATAAAAAATCCAAAACCAAAACCATCCACAACAGCAAACTCATCAGAATCAGTTCAAAATAATTTCTCATCATAAAAATCTGCAACATAATCAACGAACAATCCCATAAAACATATTTTTACTATCTCATAATGAAGCAAAGAAAAAAACAGGAAAGATTCTCCCTGAAACCCTGACCTTTGTCATTATAGGTCATTCAGAATTTCTCAGGAGGTAAGAACCGAAAAACTGTATAAAATTTCAATTTCTTTCCATTTTATGTGACATCCCTCTTTACCGTTTTGTCTGTCGTTTTATCCATTCCAATTTGGGATTCCTTAAAGATGTCCCATGAAAAAATCTCAAAGAGGGTCGAAATTACCTTTTCAGTTACTTCTTATTTTTTTTTTTGTTTTTGTTCCTCTGCCTGGATACTTTTTTTTTGCTACATTTTTATAACAAACAAATTATCATAAATTCATCGTCTGCATTTATTATCTCAACATTAATGGGCTTCTGAGCATGAATGAATGAAGGATCAGTCAAGTTTTTTTTTCTTCTTCTCATGAGCTCGTCTCATGTAGCATATTTGATTTCATTTTGATGATGATATGATGGATAGATGATGGAAATGAGACTCAGAATCCGTTAGACAAGAAAAGGGTTGCTCTATTGTTCTATGAATTATTCTTGTTTGCATAAAGATAGACTTAAGACTCATCATGTCCCATATCAGAATCAAGAGGAATTGACATGAGATTGAGTACATCTGCAGATTTGAAATTAGAGCGCAATTGAACTGAGTTATTTAGACTTTTTGTAAGATTGAATTATTTAGGTCTATAGCCTCTTAAAAAAGGTGTGGGATAGTAGAAAACTAGTAGTGTCTTCCCTTATTATGCTCTGTCAGCTCCCGAGTATTCAAACTTCATGTATATCCAAAAGAACCTCTCCATAATACAAAACATCAACCCACACCACCAAAAACGAAGATATATGCAGCCAATGTGCTCAAAACTAATCCTTCAGTTCATTCAATACAATCAAAAGCTAAAAAGTCCCAAAGATCACAAAAAAAGTCGTGGGAACGAGAAGGCATCCCATCCAAATCAAAAAATGATGCAAGCATTTTTGAAGACGTGCAAAAAAAATCATCATTTTTTTGATTAAAAGGATGATTTCAAGCATGAATAGGAAGAAATAAAAAAAAGGATTTTTAATTGGACTTGGGCAATTTTGATCGCTTACTGATTCTTTATACCTGATTTCCATTGAATAGCATCCATTATCACAAGTATAAATTTTTCATCTATTGTTCTATTCATCCCTAACTAGATGGATTCCTTTTTATCTCCTTCTTCTTTTTAGAGATTTTTTTTTGTGCTGTGTGTATGATTATTAGATAAAGTTGAGCTAAAGATTCGTTCAAGCAAATGCACAATTTTCATTTAGACTTCTTGTATGGTTCAACATAAATGGATTTTTCGATGAAATTTACCCAGTAAGAAATTGAATTTTTGATTAGTCATTGGGGTTATAGAATTGTTATCGAAATCTACAGTTTTTCTAAGGCAATAATTTTTAAAGTTTTAACTTTATTTTCTATAGTGTTCAGCAACTTTGTTTCAAGATCCATTAATGAGAGTAAAGTTTAAGCAATATCCTAAAGTTTTACGGCACACCAGTGTGTAGCGGCATACAGTTTGCACAACAAGCTCCAAACGATAAGACAATGACGATTTTTGTTTTCACGTTTTTTGCACAAAACAAGATATTAAATAATAACAATAATTTTTTTCCTTCAATTTACACTTGAAACCAATTATTTTATTTTAAATGACATAATTTTTAATCTAGTCAAGTGGCTTCAATTTTTTTTTTGCTGAAAAATATCATAAATTTAAAAGTGAATTCAATTAAATTTTTGATAGGGAATCCCCAATATTATTTCGTATCTACAGTTTATTGTTTTATGAGCATCAAATAAAATCAATTTTTAATCCCAATTTTCGTGAGCAATACATAATTGGACATCAGCATCTATAGCCAATAAAAGTCCATTCAAATTATCATGGCTTTCTTTGTAGCAAGCATTTAAAACATCTGAGAGTTCCGTAATCTTTTCTTCTAGGTCTGATGAAAAGTCAGCAATTTTGTTCTTAAGATCATAATACATGTCTTTGAATTTGTTGAAACTGTCTAAAAACTTATTTTCAATGGCCTCAAATTGTATCCAAACATTTTTTCCAGCAAAGGCTTCAATTACGCTTAATTCAAATGCAGAAATTTCTTCATCATAAATTACAAGTTGGTTGAGTGTTTCATTAAGGAGTTTATTTACTGCTCTGTCGTAAGGATAGAGACAAATTCCAGACCTGAATCCACTAAAGTCCATGAAGCCAAGCAAATGATTTCTCATCATTACTAAACAATACGAATTATAGCTGTTGGTAATAAATATTAAAGTACGGAGTGGATTAACTATATCAAAAACTGTTGTTATGTCTGTCTCAATATCTGATAAAGTAGAAGTTGCTGTCTTTTTCATTGTAGCCGACAATGAAAGTCGCAATTCCGTAATCAACTCAAATATTTCGGATTGCATTACATTCGTATAATTTTGATATTTTTGTGCACTGCTGAAGAGTTCACTTGGATTGGTGATAATAATATCTTGAGCTAATGCGGCTGCGATTAGGCATAAAATTCCGAAACCTAATTTCATTTTTAATAAACGCTTTTTGTTTCTTCCACAGAAAATTTTCGACAATTGATTTAAAACAGAATGTCAAACACTTTTAATCTACACGGTAGCATATCAATTAAAATTTTAAAAGAATAATAAACAGGGTGATCGCTATTAATTTCCTAAAACAAAAATATGAAATTTAATGGAAGAATCAACCTTAAAAATATCCAACTGGGTCTCATTTTTACGCATATTTAATTCCTTCCTTCCAGCATCAAGCGATTCATTATGCCTACACACACAGAAAACTCGTTTCTTTCAAAAGAAAAACGACGAATAACAGCAAATAATCAACAACAGTAAAGGAATCAGCACACGTGAAGAAGAAGAATGAGTAAAAGGATCTTGTGTGATGTGTATGAACATATCCTTAATATTCTTCAATTTCTTCCTTTCCATCCTTCTTCGTGTCTCCTTTTTCATTCTTATTAATTTTTTTTTCTTGATGTTAAGAATGTGCAGCACAAGAAATGAAAGAAATAAAAGGAATTGAGTCGATCGTTCATCATTCTCAGTTTACTTTACGAGACTTCTTGTTCTGTAGATCGGTTAAAGGCAATAAGCTGATTTTAGGGATGTATTTTGGCTGGTTGTCTGGATGATTTTGATAATGTGACAAATCAATGTTAGCGGCGATAGGATTCTGAACCTTTTTGATCGAACATGCTTGATCACACTCAGTTGCTATCCCACTACTGCTGTAATTTATAAAAAAAAAATAAAAAATAATCCTTAAAAAATGCGCTCTATGTCAACTTGAGGTTATGTTATCCCATACTAGTGAATTCAATTCCATCACAAAATGCACACAAGAAAAAAAATGTTAAAGGAATCTGAACTTTTAATGGATTGCACAACGAAGAATAACGATGACTTCAAGGATCATCAGACTCTCATAAAAGAAGACAATTTTTTTTTTTCTAGTTTTAAAAAGTTACGAGCATCAAAAATCAATGAGCCAACAAGAATTGCCATGGATCTAATGAACTTTTACCAATGTCATAAAAAAATAGAGTTTTTGTTTTATTATTTTCTATTAGATCTATTCTTTGTGATTTGTGAATCTTCTTCTTAAGTGCCAATCATTCTTGAAACGCTAGAGGGGTTGATGTAAGGATGAATGGAACAATTTTTATTCGAATTATTTTTTACAGCAAAAATAGTTGAGCATTTTCGAGGAAGACGAAGAAATTTCTCACAGAAAAATTGGATTTCTGTCAAAAATAAGGTAGAAAATGTTATGCAAAAGTGAAGTTTTAAACGAAAGGATTTGGATTGTTATGAGTAAATTAATGGAGTGGAGTTTTGTGAGATTCTCATGGAAGAAGACTAAAGTTTATCAAGTAATCAAAAACTTCCTTGTAGAATAGAAGTTGTAAGCCATGATTGATGCATCTAGTAAAATATTTAAGTAAGTGACAGTTTACTCTATCCCGTTATTAACCTCCAAAATGATCCTTTATACCTAACTGTATCTTCTTTACTTTTTTTGTGATCTATTTCCAAAATTATCCTAAATATGTCAACCGAACAATACAAAATATGAATCCCAAAAATTCTGCTACAATTTTCATCCACAATAGATTCATAACGGAACCTATCAAAAATGTATGAAAGTAAACAGCAGCAAAAAGAAAGAGCTAACAGTAAAAAAGACAATGACAATCATCTTCCAGCTACAAAAAAATAAGTTCTAAATTGCACATTGCAACAAGCAAACAGCAAATCCCTAAAAAAGTGACAAATTTCCTCCTAAGTTCCATTGAGGCATTATACACACTTTTTATAACTGTAAAGAGAAATGTAAAGAAAGAATCAGCATCATTTGCCTGATTTAGGTGCGACACTTTCCTTTCCGATTATGGCACAATAAGAGGAAATACGAACAGCATTCAACTTCCCCAGGGAAGCAATTTTCGGAACGGATTAGTAATTAAATACTTTTATACCGTAATTGAAACAGTTTTTTTTGTTGCTGTGTACCGTAATGTGTCACATCAGATACCGTTGTTAGTTGATTTATTTGCCTGCACCAATTTTTTTTAATATCCTCTTTCAATAGAAAGGGATCTGTGAGATCTTAAGCTGAAGATATTTATTTTAATGTCGAGGATATTTTGCTAACGGTCCCTGGCATTTCTCCTTTTTTTCTGAAAATTCAGCATTTGGTTTATATTTGCATTTTTCAGATCGAATCATTGATTCCAAAAGGTTCTGACATGCTGGGAAAATAAACAATTTGTTGTTGCTGCCTTAATCTCATTTTTCAAATGTTTTCATACTGTCAGTTTCGAATTTCATGCATTTTAATTTTCGATTGTGCAATTTTTTTTGATATTTTGTATGAGATGCAGGAGGGGGTGATGGTTCTGATTGTTGATTGTTGGCAACTGTTGATATGGTTTGGTTTAAACTCTTTTCAGGATTGAAACTTGCACAAGTGATAGAATTGACTCATTATAGAAGCTGAACGAATTTTACGTTGGTGCTTTTCCTTACTTCATGTTTATGTGCTGGTTTCTAAAGAACCAACCATTAAAATGATAAAAGACGTCTTAAACTTTGGTCAATATTAAATTTTGACTGTAGCTTGGGTTAGGTACTATCGATAACCCTAAAATCTCATTCCTGCCTTCTAATAAGTTAAAATAAATATTCAAAAATCTAAATACATTCAATAAATCCTTACAAAATCCGAAGAAATAATGCAAACAGTTATGAAATATTTACTCAGCTCCTAAATCTTATTCCTTTATTTACTCAACTTCCGATTCATCTATTTTTTCCCAATATCGATAAGAATTAAAATATTGAAAAATTTACATTTCTGCTTGAATAAATTTCTTCCTGAGAAATTCCGGTTCTGATTTATTTATGAAAAAACTAATGATGAGGAATTTCTCAATCAAACAAAATTAGGAGAAAGTAAATGGAAAAAGGGATTCATTGAACATAATAAATTAGATTAAGGATCAAGTTTTGCAGTTCGGGTTTTAAATTTAATAAATATCAATTTATTGATCTTAATGTTTTTGTGAAATACTAGAATGCTAGACTCGGTAGGCATCATAATTAAACGATAGGGCTCATTGCTTACTAGTATTTGGACATTATTTCTGTAAAATAAATTTTTCTTCTATGAGATGGATTTTATAGCAATGCAACACCAAGTCTAGGTTTTTCCAATTTCTTGGTAGAAATTGTAAAAACCTAGACTTGGTGTTGCATTCCTATAGTAAACTTTAGCTTTTTACAAAAATTATAAAATTGATCAACCTTTTTCAAACTGCTGCAAACTATCTGAACTATACAACAAAATCTTTCAGTTATAAATGAACTCAATTTCTCAAATATTTGCAATTAATAGATGCATAAATTCAGTCTCAAGAAAGAAAACATTTTTTTACCTCTCATCCATTATTTTTCTTTCATTTTCTCATGAAATTATTCATCTCCTTTAGTTGAATTAAATTAATATAGCACAAAAAAAAACATAAATTTAGTATATGAAAAATTTACCTGATCGAAGAGCCATTATAATAATGAAAAGAAAATATTGCTTCTGATAATATGCGCAATATGAAGCACAAAAGGCATTCAAAAAGGCATCGGAGAAAAAAGGAGGCCGAAAAGAAGACGTATTCATGTGTACATTATGGAACTTGATGTTAATTTATATTCAAAATTATTTTTTTAAGGCCCCGAAAAGCATTGAAGTGAGCATAATTTACTCTCCTTGAATTATATACATTATAAATTCATTTCATCATCTTCGTCTAAATCTCATGAATCTTTTGGGTATGTTCAGGCATAACAGTAAGTATGTCTTGCTACTTTTTGCCCTGGCAATCAATTATTCTACATTTACCGTTTATATTTAAATTATGAAGACAATTTTATGGAAATTTGGTACACGATCAACATGCCTCGATCCCATGAATAACAAATCGTCTTAGAAGGGATGAGCGTGTCTTGATGAAATGGTGCTGTTTGTGGCTCAGTTTGGGATATCTAGCATATATTCCCTTAGTTCCAACACAGTTCAAAAATTCCTGCAAAGATTCCAATCAAAGATTTTCTATTTAAACTTCAAAAAATGCGTCAATGACCCCAAAACTTCCACAAGTATTCAAACTTATCCCACTAAAATTTCAAATATCAATCTTTTTCAGACCTTTATCATTTTTCTTCTTCAATTGATGCTTATGCAATTTTTTTTAATCTTCCCAATTTTATTAATGTGCGCACTTCAACATTAGCATTAGCAGCAACCCTTCCGCATCACAAACCCCGTTGGTGACGAAAAATTGAATTTTGATTTGCAACATGACAAGATGTACAATAAAGGCTTGTCAATCGTGTTCCCTCGATGACAATTTTTTGCTTTTCAAATAATCATTTTTTTTTTGCATCGTGTCAATAGTGACTGGATAGAGAGGAACCGGAAAATAAAATTAATGAACAGTCGCGAACAATATAAATCAATCATGTTACTTTTTGCCACTATCCGAATAGACATGAATAGAAACTTTTTTATCTTTGTCACTATGCGCTCATTTAAATCTTTTGAATTGCAAATTTTTCGGGTTGAGATGAAAAGTAGCTGCAAGCATCCTTGAAGGGGTTGATTTTCGGTAATATAAAAGAAGATTGAGTATGTTTTGGAGGTAGAAAATGTTTGCATTATTGGCAATGTTAAGCTATTTTGCATATTGTTGTTGTGTTTTGCTATGTCATCATGCCTTTGTCATGGAAAAATGTTTGAGAATGAATGAGTTGGAATTAAATTAGGAATGAGTAAGGAAAGCGCTTTGAGTACAAATTAAAAAGTGTCATTCAAATTGAAGTTATTTATGCCTGAGAAATTTGACTCAAGTAGAACTTATCCTTAATGATTTGGCTCTTGCTGAACTCATCCTCATGAACTTGATTAGAACTGATCTCATCCTGATGGACTTGATTAGAACTGAATTCATCCCGATGAACTTGATTAGAACTGAACTCATCCTAATGATTTTGACTCAAGTTGAACTTATCCTTAATGA